GTTAAAAGTGGTTTACTTTGACAAGAATGTGTTCTTAAGTGATGCGTGTGTGAGAGACCTGTGTTTCAGTGCAAACCCTCACCAGCAACAGAAGGATGCCAGTGGAGAGAAGCCCTGGAAAGAAGATATGGAGAGTGCCTCGCTTGTGAGGAGTTGCTGCTTCTACTTATCTGGGGTGCCTGCAGCTAGGACGGAGGTTGGGGAAGCCTCCTCAGCCATCGTAGGGCTTCTCCAGCACCAGGCCACTCTTAACACTATGGAGCCACACAGTAACAATGAGATTTCACAGGAATGTCTCAGTGGAAAAAGACATCAGCAGTGGGTTGAATGTGAAAGAGGTGACAGCCAGAAACAGAAAGTTGCTTATCAGAAAGGTCTCTGCTCTGGAGATATGATTTATGAGTATAATAAATGTGGGGAAGCGTGTAGACAAATGCTTAAACACCCTCCACATGGGAGAGTTCACACTGGAGAAAAGCCCTATGAGTGTACTAATTGTGGGAAGGTCTTCAGTGAAAAAACTGCTCTTATTAAACATAACAGAGTTCACATTAGAGAAAAGTGGTATGAGTGTAGTGACTGTGGGAAGTCCTTCAGTCACAGGTCTGACTTCACTAAACACCACAAAGTTCACACTGGAGAAAAGCCATATGAGTGTAGTGAATGTGGGAAGCATTTCAGTGAAAGGGCTGACCTCACTAGACACCACAGAGTTCACACTGGAGAAAAGCCATATGAGTGTAGTGAATGTGGGACATCCTTTCGTCAAATATCTCACCTCACTATACACCAAAGAGTTCACACTGGAGAAAAGCCATATGAGTGTAGTGAATGTGGGAAGCATTTCAGAGAAAGGACTGCCCTTACTAAACACCACAGAGTTCACACTGGAGAAAAGCCACATGAGTGTAGTGAATGTGGGAAGCATTTCACTGTAAAGGCTGAACTCACTATACACTACAGAGTTCACACTGGAGAAAAGCCATATGAGTGTAGTGAATGTGGGATATCCTTTCGCCAAAGGTCTCACCTCACTAAACACCACAGAATTCACACTGGATAAAAGCCATATGAGTGTAGTGAATGTGGGAAATCCTTTAGTGAAATTTCTATCCCCAGTGAACACAAGAGAGTTCACATTGGTGAGTATAGTGAGTGTGGGATTTCTTTTAGCTACAACCATAACCTGGTTAGACACCTGAAATTTCACACTGGAGAAAAGATGTAAATGTGCAGGGAATGTTTTATTTTTCTCACTAAGAATAAGAACACTTAAGGGGCTCTAGGGGACCCATTTACATGAATGTAAACCCCTTTAATGAGAACATACACTCTGCTAGATTTGTTATAAATTTGAGGTACAAGTGAGACTTGAAGGAACTACATTGTACTTGCTAACATGCCCAGACCTACAATCCAAATGATGTCACTGTGAGTGTTTATCGCTGAAGAAATTTCACAGCTAACACCTGGCTCACCTGAGGAGTGTGCATCAGTCACATTCTCTGGGTGCTCAGGGGAATGTATTCTGTGTTCTCACTTCTTCTTGAGGTAATTATGATTCCTCCAAGCTCTTGGCAGTATCTTCATTCATTTCTCTATGACTAGAAAATTGACCTGACCCAGGATTCATCCAGAGCACCTGTTCTCAGCTAAGAAGTGCTACCTCTTTCAGGGACATAGTGGTACTCACATTATGCTTTGATAAATTTTGGGGGTTTCTTATTCACCAACCTGCAAACTCTGTGCCCTCCTCTGCTCTGGTTTATGATCTTTTTAAAGGTGTTTTTATATTTGTGTTGTTATTTATTAGTGCATTATTTTCAACACTACTCTAAACCTAAATTTGCCACACTCTGTATTTACCTCCAGTCATTTTGTAATATTTCTGCTTCCCCAACTCTCCATGCAGACATTGATTTAACTTCCTTTACAATAGAGTAGTTCACATTTTTCATAATTTTGTTGGCACTATAGGTGAATTCTCTTTAACAAACACTGGCTTCCTTCATGCTACACAGATAGTTTGAGATTTAACACTAACGTTTATATTAATTGTGAATTTTTTATTTCTAGAAAATATTGTATTCTATGGATAACCACTTTTACTATTGAGCTGCCTATGATTTCAGTTATTTCTACTTTTGTTGTTTTATAAATAAAACAGCTTGGAATACTGTATTCCATTCTTTCTACAGGTGTATGTTGTACTTATCAAACTGTTTCAGTGTCAGTGAATGTGGTACATTTCAACATATGGAACTGTGACCTAAAATGGTCAATCACTTATGAGTGTACTGTTCACTCTCTTTTGTTTTAACTCCATTTCTGTAAACATGTTTGATGGTGATCATTTCTTCATGCATTTCTTTCACTGTCTTTATCTTCTTCGTTAAAATGTCTGCTCAGGATTTTTTGTTCACTTTTAAAGATACTTTAT